GCTGGCATGGCGAGGCACCTCACGTCAGCCAGACTCTTCACTGTGGTGACGGAGACAGTCAGAGGCCCCCAGGGCGGTTGCCCTGACGGGTAGGTGTGGATGCACGATGCAGGCTATGTGGGACTGTGGGCTTCCTTCCACGTGAGTCCAGGTATAGAGGGACACCTGGCAGTGGGTCACGGTCACACGGGCAGGCTTTCCAGGCATGTGGGACAGGGAGCGACAAGAGAGGGGAAAAGGAAGGGAGGACATGTCCCACCTATTTAATGCTCTTGAAATTTAGATATTACCCTATTAACAAGAGTATCTTGAATCTTTATTAGGGTTAGAATTATATACTTGAAATAGCTGTAGAGCAGAGGGAAGGAGGCTGGCATTTCTGGGCTCTGGGCCCTCTGCCTTCGGTCTGTGATCTTGTGCAGGGGCAGGGCCACCTCCCAGCTGCTGTGGGGGCCTTAATGTCGGGTTCTCATTTGACCTGGAAAGAACAGCAAAGCCCTCTCCCCAACAGCCTGAGGCACAGGGAAAGGCCTAGAAGCGGGAGCCACGAGTCGAGGGGCTGGAGGTTGGCACTGGGTGACAGAGGACATGTAGGGTTTCCAAGATGGGGAGGGAGGGGGCATCCTGGATGGCGGGGGCAGCAGGAGCCTGATCAGGCCACCGCAGTGGTGGGGACGCAGTGGAAGGTGGCCTTCGTATTATCTGCTGGTGATTTCAGTTTGTGGGAAACACATTAATCGGCAGGGGAGGAGGTGAGAGTTATGGACGGTCCAAAGCAAAGCTGCTGGGGTCTGTGGTGAAGGAAGGGCAGCCCTGTGGGCGGCGGGCGGTGCAATGGTGGCGGGTTTTGTAGAATGATGTGGGGGGAGGGGCTTCAGGGACCACAGGACAGCAAGAGGTTGCTCTTTAATCCCAAGGTCCCACCTTGGGGGCCCTTCCCTGGGAGGACGGCCTGACCATTAGCTGAGGGTGGAGCAAGACAGAAGCAGCTGGAGTTTTGGAGAAAGTTAATCCCCTTGGAAGGGGGGTGGGGGGAGAGAAGCAGGTGAAGCCTGGGGGATGGACTCTCAGGTGGGACAACACGGACCTTGGAGCAGGAGGTGACTTTGTGGGGTTCATCCAGCCTTACTGTGAGGGAGGCTGTCTCCTTGCCTGGCCTCAGTTTCCCTCTCTCGTTGTGATGCCCATGCTTCTCTCTAACCTCCAAACGTGCTTCAGCTGCCTGCAGGAGTCCCAGGTGTGTCGCAGACCTGGCCTCCTCGTGTGGTCCCATGGCGGTGGTCCCGCCAGCCTGCACTCCAGCTCCATGAGCCACCTTCTCTCCCAGGAACCTGTCCTGGGCAGGCTCTGCCCAGTCTGTGACTCCACCTTTTC